TTAAAGGGGATGACTTTTGCGGCGCCTCAAAAATGCTGTATGAGCTGAGCTGTTAAAGGGGATGACTTTTGAGGCGCCTCAAAAATGCTGTATGAGCTGAGCTGTTAAAGGGGATGACTTTTGAGGCGCCTCAAAAATGCTGTATGAGCTGAGCTGTTAAAGGGGATGACTTTTGAGGCGCCTCAAAAATGCTGTATGAGCTGAGCTGTTAAAGGGGATGACTTTTGAGGCGCCTCAAAAATGCTGTATGAGCTGAGCTGTTAAAGGGGATGACTTTTGCGGCGCCTCAAAAATGCTGTATGAGCTGAGCTGTTAAAGGGGATGACTTTTGAGGCGCCTCAAAAATGCTGTATGAGCTGAGCTGTTAAAGGGGATGACTTTTGAGGCGCCTCAAAAATGCTGTATGAGCTGAGCTGTTAAAGGGGATGACTTTTGCGGCGCCTCAAAAATGCTGTATGAGCTGAGCTGTTAAAGGGGATGACTTTTGAGGCGCCTCAAAAATGCTGTATGAGCTGAGCTGTTAAAGGGGATGACTTTTGAGGCGCCTCAAAAATGCTGTATGAGCTGAGCTGTTAAAGGGGATGACTTTTGAGGCGCCTCAAAAATGCTGTATGAGCTGAGCTGTTAAAGGGGATGACTTTTGAGGCGCCTCAAAAATGCTGTATGAGCTGAGCTGTTAAAGGGGATGACTTTTGAGGCGCCTCAAAAATGCTGTATGAGCTGAGCTGTTAAAGGGGATGACTTTTGCGGCGCCTCAAAAATGCTGTATGAGCTGAGCTGTTAAAGGGGATGACTTTTGAGGCGCCTCAAAAATGCTGTATGAGCTGAGCTGTTAAAGGGGATGACTTTTGAGGCGCCTCAAAAATGCTGTATGAGCTGAGCTGTTAAAGGGGATGACTTTTGAGGCGCCTCAAAAATGCTGTATGAGCTGAGCTGTTAAAGGGGATGACTTTTGCGGCGCCTCAAAAATGCTGTATGAGCTGAGCTGTTAAAGGGGATGACTTTTGAGGCGCCTCAAAAATGCTGTATGAGCTGAGCTGTTAAAGGGGATGACTTTTGAGGCGCCTCAAAAATGCTGTATGAGCTGAGCTGTTAAAGGGGATGACTTTTGCGGCGCCTCAAAAATGCTGTATGAGCTGAGCTGCTAAAGGGGATGACTTTTGAGGCGCCTCAAAAATGCTGTATGAGCTGAGCTGTTAAAGGGGATGACTTTTGAGGCGCCTCAAAAATGCTGTATGAGCTGAGCTGTTAAAGGGGATGACTTTTGAGGCGCCTCAAAAATGCTGTATGAGCTGAGCTGTTAAAGGGGATGACTTTTGAGGCGCCTCAAAAATGCTGTATGAGCTGAGCTGTTAAAGGGGATGACTTTTGCGGCGCCTCAAAAATGCTGTATGAGCTGAGCTGTTAAAGGGGATGACTTTTGAGGCGCCTCAAAAATGCTGTATGAGCTGAGCTGTTAAAGGGGATGACTTTTGAGGCGCCTCAAAAATGCTGTATGAGCTGAGCTGTTAAAGGGGATGACTTTTGCGGCGCCTCAAAAATGCTGTATGAGCTGAGCTGTTAAAGGGGATGACTTTTGAGGCGCCTCAAAAATGCTGTATGAGCTGAGCTGTTAAAGGGGATGACTTTTGAGGCGCCTCAAAAATGCTGTATGAGCTGAGCTGTTAAAGGGGATGACTTTTGAGGCGCCTCAAAAATGCTGTATGAGCTGAGCTGTTAAAGGGGATGACTTTTGAGGCGCCTCAAAAATGCTGTATGAGCTGAGCTGTTAAAGGGGATGACTTTTGAGGCGCCTCAAAAATGCTGTATGAGCTGAGCTGTTAAAGGGGATGACTTTTGAGGCGCCTCAAAAATGCTGTATGAGCTGAGCTGTTAAAGGGGATGACTTTTGCGGCGCCTCAAAAATGCTGTATGAGCTGAGCTGTTAAAGGGGATGACTTTTGAGGCGCCTCAAAAATGCTGTATGAGCTGAGCTGTTAAAGGGGATGACTTTTGAGGCGCCTCAAAAATGCTGTATGAGCTGAGCTGTTAAAGGGGATGACTTTTGAGGCGCCTCAAAAATGCTGTATGAGCTGAGCTGTTAAAGGGGATGACTTTTGAGGCGCCTCAAAAATGCTGTATGAGCTGAGCTGTTAAAGGGGATGACTTTTGAGGCGCCTCAAAAATGCTGTATGAGCTGAGCTGTTAAAGGGGATGACTTTTGAGGCGCCTCAAAAATGCTGTATGAGCTGAGCTGTTAAAGGGGATGACTTTTGAGGCGCCTCAAAAATGCTGTATGAGCTGAGCTGTTAAAGGGGATGACTTTTGAGGCGCCTCAAAAATGCTGTATGAGCTGAGCTGTTAAAGGGGATGACTTTTGCGGCGCCTCAAAAATGCTGTATGAGCTGAGCTGTTAAAGGGGATGACTTTTGAGGCGCCTCAAAAATGCTGTATGAGCTGAGCTGTTAAAGGGGATGACTTTTGAGGCGCCTCAAAAATGCTGTATGAGCTGAGCTGTTAAAGGGGATGACTTTTGAGGCGCCTCAAAAATGCTGTATGAGCTGAGCTGTTAAAGGGGATGACTTTTGAGGCGCCTCAAAAATGCTGTATGAGCTGAGCTGTTAAAGGGGATGACTTTTGAGGCGCCTCAAAAATGCTGTATGAGCTGAGCTGTTAAAGGGGATGACTTTTGAGGCGCCTCAAAAATGCTGTATGAGCTGAGCTGTTAAAGGGGATGACTTTTGAGGCGCCTCAAAAATGCTGTATGAGCTGAGCTGTTAAAGGGGATGACTTTTGAGGCGCCTCAAAAATGCTGTATGAGCTGAGCTGTTAAAGGGGATGACTTTTGAGGCGCCTCAAAAATGCTGTATGAGCTGAGCTGTTAAAGGGGATGACTTTTGAGGCGCCTCAAAAATGCTGTATGAGCTGAGCTGTTAAAGGGGATGACTTTTGAGGCGCCTCAAAAATGCTGTATGAGCTGAGCTGTTAAAGGGGATGACTTTTGAGGCGCCTCAAAAATGCTGTATGAGCTGAGCTGTTAAAGGGGATGACTTTTGAGGCGCCTCAAAAATGCTGTATGAGCTGAGCTGTTAAAGGGGATGACTTTTGAGGCGCCTCAAAAATGCTGTATGAGCTGAGCTGTTAAAGGGGATGACTTTTGAGGCGCCTCAAAAATGCTGTATGAGCTGAGCTGTTAAAGGGGATGACTTTTGAGGCGCCTCAAAAATGCTGTATGAGCTGAGCTGTTAAAGGGGATGACTTTTGAGGCGCCTCAAAAATGCTGTATGAGCTGAGCTGTTAAAGGGGATGACTTTTGAGGCGCCTCAAAAATGCTGTATGAGCTGAGCTGTTAAAGGGGATGACTTTTGAGGCGCCTCAAAAATGCTGTATGAGCTGAGCTGTTAAAGGGGATGACTTTTGAGGCGCCTCAAAAATGCTGTATGAGCTGAGCTGTTAAAGGGGATGACTTTTGAGGCGCCTCAAAAATGCTGTATGAGCTGAGCTGTTAAAGGGGATGACTTTTGAGGCGCCTCAAAAATGCTGTATGAGCTGAGCTGTTAAAGGGGATGACTTTTGAGGCGCCTCAAAAATGCTGTATGAGCTGAGCTGTTAAAGGGGATGACTTTTGAGGCGCCTCAAAAATGCTGTATGAGCTGAGCTGTTAAAGGGGATGACTTTTGAGGCGCCTCAAAAATGCTGTATGAGCTGAGCTGTTAAAGGGGATGACTTTTGAGGCGCCTCAAAAATGCTGTATGAGCTGAGCTGTTAAAGGGGATGACTTTTGAGGCGCCTCAAAAATGCTGTATGAGCTGAGCTGTTAAAGGGGATGACTTTTGAGGCGCCTCAAAAATGCTGTATGAGCTGAGCTGTTAAAGGGGATGACTTTTGAGGCGCCTCAAAAATGCTGTATGAGCTGAGCTGTTAAAGGGGATGACTTTTGAGGCGCCTCAAAAATGCTGTATGAGCTGAGCTGTTAAAGGGGATGACTTTTGAGGCGCCTCAAAAATGCTGTATGAGCTGAGCTGTTAAAGGGGATGACTTTTGAGGCGCCTCAAAAATGCTGTATGAGCTGAGCTGTTAAAGGGGATGACTTTTGAGGCGCCTCAAAAATGCTGTATGAGCTGAGCTGTTAAAGGGGATGACTTTTGAGGCGCCTCAAAAATGCTGTATGAGCTGAGCTGTTAAAGGGGATGACTTTTGAGGCGCCTCAAAAATGCTGTATGAGCTGAGCTGTTAAAGGGGATGACTTTTGAGGCGCCTCAAAAATGCTGTATGAGCTGAGCTGTTAAAGGGGATGACTTTTGAGGCGCCTCAAAAATGCTGTATGAGCTGAGCTGTTAAAGGGGATGACTTTTGAGGCGCCTCAAAAATGCTGTATGAGCTGAGCTGTTAAAGGGGATGACTTTTGAGGCGCCTCAAAAATGCTGTATGAGCTGAGCTGTTAAAGGGGATGACTTTTGAGGCGCCTCAAAAATGCTGTATGAGCTGAGCTGTTAAAGGGGATGACTTTTGAGGCGCCTCAAAAATGCTGTATGAGCTGAGCTGTTAAAGGGGATGACTTTTGAGGCGCCTCAAAAATGCTGTATGAGCTGAGCTGTTAAAGGGGATGACTTTTGAGGCGCCTCAAAAATGCTGTATGAGCTGAGCTGTTAAAGGGGATGACTTTTGAGGCGCCTCAAAAATGCTGTATGAGCTGAGCTGTTAAAGGGGATTCCGCCCGTCAGCGCCCCGTCACCTCAGGTTCCTTCCTCGCCTTCCCACTAGCATTTTTGTCTTACCTGCCCCCTCCCAACACACCAATGGTTGCTGCTGTCATCCCCCATTTAAGGAGGCTCTTCACTGGCACATTGCGTTCCTCCTTTTCTTTCAACCATGTGCGATACCGCAGTATCCCCCTTATAAGCAAACTTGTGACACCACACTGAACCCAGACATAGACATCGTTTTCCTTCTCTATCCCGTCCTTCTCTCTCCTCCCACTCCCATCCCTGCTTTTCCTCCTGGTTTATCCCCTTTATTAGCAAATCTTTGACAACATACTGAACCGCGACATCACATGGCCAGCTGTGCCTGAAGACATGTCGTACGAAGCAAAGGATCTCATTGACAGGTATGCGTGCAGGTTGTACTCTTATATATCTCAAATTCGACATCAGAAAAGGCCTTGGAAAGAACTCAAGATCAGCGAAGGCCCCTGTATGGTAGTCGCAAACTTGCTTCATGCCTTTCACAAGCAAGTCTGGAGAATAGAAACTACTGTTTCTCTCCCTCTGCCATTATTCCCTCTCCCATTCCCTATTGTTACCCCCACGCTCTTTCTTCCTCCCCCCCCCCCTTCTCTCCTTGCTCCTCCCTCCCTCCGTCGTCCTCCCTCCCAATATCTGCAGACTCCTCACCTTTGATCCGGAGGAGCGCCTAGAGGCGCGGGGAGCTGCTCACTACTCCTTCCTTTACTGCCCCCTACCACATTCTTCCTCTTCCCTCTCTCCTCCCTCCCTCCCCCTTGGTGCGTCTGCCTGCAGGCTCCTCACCTTTGACCCGGAGGAGCGCCTAGGGGCGCGGGGAGCAGAGGAGGTGAGCCTTGGCAATGCGTTGGGCCTCTTCGGTCTGTCCGTTCATCCCTCTTCCCCCCTCCCGCCCTTCCTTTCTCGTTTGCTTTCCTTGCAAAGTCTTTTTGCCATTCCCCCTTGTTTTGGTCCACTCACTGAACCATTGGTCCACTCACTGGGACATTAGACCACTCACTGGACCACGGGCCCGCTCACTGGACCACGGGCCCGCTCACTGGACCACTGGACCACTCACTGGACTGGACCATTGGTCCACTAGACTAGACGACTGGACCACTCACTGGACCACCGGTCCACTCACTCGACCACCGGTCCACTCACTCGACCACCGGTCCACTCACTCGACCTCCGGTCCACTCACTGAACCGGCGGTCCACACACTGGACTGCCGGTCCACTAACTAGACTAGCGATCCACTGACCGGTGGTCGACTCACTGGACCGGCGGTCCACTCACCTGACTGGCGATCCACTTTTCGGACCGGCGGTCCACTCACCGGACCGGCGGTCCACTCACCGGACCGGCGGTCCACTCACCGGACCGGCGGTCCACTCACCGGACCGGCGGTCCACTCACCAGACCACCGGTCCACTCACTGGACCGGCGTACCACTCACTGGACCGGCGGCGGTCCACTCACCGGACAAGCGGCGGTCCACTCACCGGTCCGGCGGCGGTCCACTCACCGTTCCGGCGGCGGTCCACTCACCGGACCTGTGGCGGTCCACTCACCGGACCGGCGGCAGTCCACTCACCGGTCCGGCGGCGGTCCACTGACCAGACCGGCGGCGGTCCGCTCACTGGACTGGCGGCGGTCCTCTCAGTTCTTTTTTTCAGGCTGCCGCTCCTCTTGTAGCCTTGTCCTTATCCTCTCCTCCTGCATTTGTTGTATAGATCGAGGCATTTTTCCTTGAGCCGCATTGATTGTGGCGCCGTCTCATATGCATTTGCTTATCCCTCCCCTCCTGCATGTGTCACTGATCATGAGCCATTATTTCTTTCACACTATTTATTGTGACCAGTTCTCTCATGCATTCGCGCGTCCCTCCCCCCGCGCATGTGTCGCAGATCAAGAACCATTATTTCTTTCGCACCATTGATTGGGACACCCTCTCCTCTGAAACGGTCAGTCTGCTGCTGCTGCAGCTGCTGTTTCTCGTGCAGTGCGGCTGCTTCTTCTTCTGCTTCTGTTGCTTGTCAGCACTGCAGCTTTCTCTGCTGCTGCTGTTGCTATCGCAGTGCTGCTGCTTCCTCCGCTGCTACCATTTCATACACCACTGATTGCAACCCCCACCACAGATTGCAACCCCCACCACTGATTGCAACCCCCACCACAGATTGCAACCCCCACCACTGATTGCAACCCCCACCACTGATTGCAACCCCCACCATTGATTGCAACCCCCACCACTGATTGCAACCCCCACCATTGATTGCAACCCCCACCACTGATTGCAACCCCCACCATTGATTGCAACCCCCACCATTGATTGCAACCCCCACCACTGATTGCAACCCCCACCACTGATTGCAACCCCCACCACTGATTGCAACCCCCACCACTGATTGCAACCCCCACCATTGATTGCAACCCCCACCACTGGTTGCAACCCCCACCATTGATTGCAACCCCCACCATTGATTGCAACCCCCACCATTGATTGCAACCCCCACCATTGATTGCAACCCCCACCACTGATTGCAACCCCCACCATTGATTGCAACCCCCACCATTGATTGCAACCCCCACCACTGATTGCAACCCCCACCACTGATTGCAACCCCCACCATTGATTGCAACCCCCACCATTGATTGCAACCCCCACCACTGGTTGCAACCCCCACCACTGATTGCAACCCCCACCACTGATTGCAACCCCCACCACTGATTGCAACCCCCACCATTGATTGCAACCCCCACCACTGATTGCAACCCCCACCACTGATTGCAACCCCCACCACTGATTGCAACCCCCACCACTGATTGCAACCCCCACCACTGATTGCAACCCCCACCACTGATTGCAACCCCCAGCATTGATTACAACCCCCACCACTGATTGCAACCCCCACCATTGATTGCAACCCCCACCATTGATTGCAACCCCCACCACTGATTGCAACCCCCACCATTGATTGCAACCCCCACCATTGATTGCAACCCCCACCACTGGTTGCAACCCCCACCACTGATTGCAACCCCCACCATTGATTGCAACCCCCACCATTGATTGCAACCCCCACCACTGATTGCAACCCCCACCACTGATTGCAACCCCCACCACTGATTGCAACCCCCACCACTGATTGCAACCCCCAGCATTGATTACAACCCCCACCACTGATTGCAACCCCCACCATTGATTGCAACCCCCACGATTGATTGCAACCCCCACCACTGGTTGCAACCCCCACCATTGATTGCAACCCCCACCACTGATTGCAACCCCCACCACTGATTGCAACCCCCACCACTGATTGCAACCCCCACCACTGATTGCAACCCCCACCACTGATTGCAACCCCCAGCATTGATTACAACCCCCACCACTGATTGCAACCCCCACCATTGATTGCAACCCCCACCATTGATTGCAACCCCCACCATTGATTGCAACCCCCACCACTGATTGCAACCCCCACCATTGATTGCAACCCCCACCATTGATTGCAACCCCCACCACTGGTTGCAACCCCCACCACTGATTGCAACCCCCACCATTGATTGCAACCCCCACCATTGATTGCAACCCCCACCACTGATTGCAACCCCCACCACTGATTGCAACCCCCACCACAGATTGCAACCCCCACCACTGATTGCAACCCCCACCACAGATTGCAACCCCCACCACTGATTGCAACCCCCACCACTGATTGCAACCCCCACCATTGATTGCAACCCCCACCACTGATTGCAACCCCCACCACTGATTGCAACCCCCACCACTGATTGCAACCCCCACCACTGATTGCAACCCCCACCACTGATTGCAACCCCCACCACTGATTGCAACCCCCAGCATTGATTACAACCCCCACCACTGATTGCAACCCCCACCATTGATTGCAACCCCCACCATTGATTGCAACCCCCACCACTGATTGCAACCCCCACCATTGATTGCAACCCCCACCATTGATTGCAACCCCCACCACTGGTTGCATGCAACCCCCACCACTGATTGCAACCCCCACCATTGATTGCAACCCCCACCATTGATTGCAACCCCCACCACTGATTGCAACCCCCACCACTGATTGCAACCCCCACCACTGATTGCAACCCCCACCACTGATTGCAACCCCCAGCATTGATTACAACCCCCACCACTGATTGCAACCCCCACCATTGATTGCAACCCCCACGATTGATTGCAACCCCCACCACTGGTTGCAACCCCCACCATTGATTGCAACCCCCACCACTGATTGCAACCCCCACCACTGATTGCAACCCCCACCACTGATTGCAACCCCCACCACTGATTGCAACCCCCAGCATTGATTACAACCCCCACCACTGATTGCAACCCCCACCATTGATTGCAACCCCCACCATTGATTGCAACCCCCACCACTGGTTGCAACCCCCACCATTGATTGCAACCCCCACCACTGATTGCAACCCCCACCACTGATTGCAACCCCCACCACTGATTGCAACCCCCACCACTGATTGCAACCCCCACCATTGATTGCAACCCCCACCATTGATTGCAACCCCCACCACTGGTTGCAACCCCCACCATTGATTGCAACCCCCACCACTGATTGCAACCCCCACCACTGATTGCAACCCCCACCACTGATTGCAACCCCCACCACTGATTGCAACCCCCACCATTGATTGCAACCCCCACCACTGATTGCAACCCCCACCACTGATTGCAACCCCCACCATTGATTGCAACCCTCACCACTGATTGCAACCCCCACCGCTGATTGCAACCCCCACCACTGATTGCAACCCCCACCACTGATTGCAACCCCCACCATTGATTGCAACCCCCACCACTGATTGCAACCCCCACCACTGATTGCAACCCCCACCACTGATTGCAACCCCCACCATTGATTGCAACCCTCACCACTGATTGCAACCCCCACCGCTGATTGCAACCCCCACCACTGATTGCAACCCCCACCATTGATTGCAACCCCCACCACTGATTGCAACCCCCACCATTGATTGCAACCCCCACCATTGATTGCAACCCCCACCACTGGTTGCAACCCCCACCACTGGTTGCAACCCCCACCACTGATTTTCCAGCCCCCATTCACCCCGGAGATGGAGAACGCCCACGACATGGGCACCTTTTTTTTACTATTTCTGAACCCCTGCCACTTCCCCCCCCCAAACTCCCTCCCTACTCCCTCTCCCACTCCCCCCCCCCCTCTCCCCCCCCCTCCTCCCTCCGCCCTCCGCCTTCCGCCCTCCACCCTCCGCCCTCCGCCTAGCCGCCATTCATCCCTGAGTTGGAGAACGCCCAACTGACTCAAGCTACTTCGCTTTGACTCAACTGAAACCCACCGTTCCCCCCCGCCCCCCATATCTCCCCCCCCGCCCAGCTGCCGTTTATCCCTGAGACTCAGAACGCCCACGACACTGACTACTTTGTGTTGACTGAACTGAACCCAACCGCTCCCCCCCCATCGCCCCCCACCACTTCCCCCCCATCTCCCCCCCCCACTCCCCCCCCGCCCATCTCCCCCCACACACCCAGCCGCCATTCATCCCCGAGACTGAGAACGCTCATGACACGAGCTACTTTGCATCGCGCTACGGGCCAAACGCCATGGACGGGGAAGTCGTGGGCGGCGGGGGAGATGGCCGCAGCAGCAACTACAGCAGCAGCGGTGGCAGCACGAGCGACTCTGAGGACTTGGAATTGGAAAGGGTGAGCTGGGGTGGGTGGGGGAGCAAGAAAGGGTGGAGGAAACAGCCAGCACGGGGAAGGGGGGTGGCAGGGGGGAGGGGGGGGGGGAGGGGGAAGAAAGGGTGGAGGAAACAGCTAGGACAGGGAAGGGGTGGGGGCCGGGGGAGATGGTCGCAGCAGCAACTACAGCAGCAGTGATGGCAGCACGAGTGACCCTGAGGACTTGGAATTGGAAAGGGTGAGATGGGGTGAGGGGGGGGGGAGGGCAGGTTGAAGCGGGAAGGGTACACAGTAGCAACAGTGCTTCTGCTGAAGCACACTGTTGACTCAATCTTTCTCCCATGGTTTTAAACTCCCCTAAGTTGCCTCTTTTTGCCTCTCCTCCTTCCCCTCTCTCTCTCCCCCTCCACTGAGGACGATGGGGCGGGCGGGTGACATGCTGGCATTCCTCCTTCCCTCCTCTCTCCTCACTTACTAACTCCCTTACCCGCGCTCCCCCTCCCCCTCCCCTCCTCTCAGGGCGATGAGGCGGGTGACATGCCGGCATTCCAGTCCAGCGCAGTTGACTTCTCAGGCTTCTCCTTCAAGGTAGGCTGCTGGGGTGCCAGGCTGGTAAGCTGGTTCTTGCCACTGCTTCAGAGGAGTGTGGGTTTGGGTTTTGTACCCACTCACAAGGGCTCTAATACACCCTCTCCCAAGCCATGCCGGTATCCCAGTCCAGCGCAGTTGACTTCTCAGTCATTCAAGGTAGGCAGCTGGGCTGCTGGGCTGCTGGGCTGCTGGGCTGGTAGGCTGGTAGGCTGGTAGGCTGGTGGGCTGGGTATTGAATCCAGTCGGTCGTAAGGTACGCCCAAGCAGGGAAGTCTGCGACTCTGTAACGTGCTTTTGTGTAACACATTTGAGCCAAACGGAGTTGCCTCAGGGCTAATCATTTCAGGTAGCTTTTAGGATTTTCTCTTTTTTGTTTGTGGGATTTTCCTTCAAGGTAGCTTCCTGTTGGTGAGCTCACTCAGAAGTGTCTTCTCCACCTTCTCCCCCTCCCCCCTCCTCCCACCTTCCACCTTCCTGGTTGTTCCACCTTCCACCTTGCAACCTACCCCTCCCCTCCCCCCCCCCCCGCCCCCACTCCCCACGTTTCTCCATTTCTCTCTCCCCTTCTTACTCGTGCATTGTAGAATCTCTCCCAACTAGCTTTCATCAACACAGAGATTCTTGAAAGGCGACCCAGTGGAACAGCAGTTGAGCCCACCCAGTGGAACAGCAGTTGAGCCTCTGATGTGAGAGCAAGATACAAGAAAGTATGCGTGCCACTGTCGGAGATGCTTTTATCAAGTTTTTTTTTTCAGCCTTCTTGTATAATATTTTCCTACCTGCATGGTGGGGGCATTCCCTTTCCATCGTTTATGTAAAGTTGCTTAGAGGTAAAGTTTTTAACAGAGTAGTAATAATTTTCAGAAATATAGCACACTAATGTAAATTACAAACACATCTAGGGAGTAATGCCAAACCAAGCCTCTCTTCACAAGCTTTCTCTCGCGTACGAAGCTGTCACAAACAGTCACGCGACGTTGTCTGACTCGAGGAGGCTTGGCTTGGCATCACCCTGTGCGACACATCTGTTGCTCCACTATTTTTCCCCTCCCCTTTCTGCTGCAACCCTGGCTACTTTCTGCACAGTTCACGCCATAATAGCGTCTGCTGCATCTGATTTCGTTGGAACAGCCACGTGGCGAGCACCAGCATTGCTGACGTGGCACGAGCGCAGGATCCACGGGTGGGAGAGGATCGCGGCAGCGGACGGCCTCCTCGCAGGGTCCCTTTGAAGCAGGCACCGCACCAGGTGCTTCGCCTCCTCCGACACCCCCGACCATTCCGGACCGCTCATATCAACCGCACCCCTAAGAACCTCAACGAATACGTCCTTATCCGTCGCGCCCCAGAAAGGCGGCACGCCGCTGAGGAGGATGTATAGTATAACGCCGAGCGACCACACGTCGGCGCCTAGGGAGTAATCGCCTGTGAGGACTTCGGGTGCGATGTAAAACGGCGACCCTGCGACGCCTTTCGCGCGCTCGCCTGCGACGAGCGACACCCCGAGGCCGAAGTCTGCGACTTTTGTGGTGAGGGGTGCGGCGCAGAGCGGTACAGATGGGTCCCGCACGAGCAGGATGTTCTCGGGTTTCAGGTCGCGGTGGAGGACGCCGCGCGCGTGGCAGTGTGCGACGGCGGATGCGACCTGTGCGAAAACGCTCGCCGCGTCGCGCTCGTTGAATCGCCCACGTCGCACGACTTCGTCGAACAGCTCGCCGCCTTCGCAGAGCTCCATCACGAGGTGCACTGCGACGTCGTCCTCAAACACCGCGCGCAGCTGCACGATTCCCGTGTGCGCGCCGCCCACCGCAACCCGCTGCATTAACTCAATCTCCCGCCGAATCTCGTCGCGTTCCGCCTCGGTACTAAGCCGGTCCTTTAGGAGGGTTTTGCAGGCGAAGCGCGAGCCCGTGGCCCGCTCCGTGCAGCGGCGGACGGTTCCGAACTGGCCGGACCCCAAAACGTGGGAGTCGAGAACGAAATAGTCCTCGAGGCGGCCGGTAGGGACGGGGAGAACCTGGGTGGGCGCGGCGGAGCAGGTGTTTGAGGCCTGGTGAACCCATTGCGGTTCGGAGTCGGGTGAGTTTCTTGAGTCGGCTAAGTGGCTGCGTTGAGATCCTAGGGATTGCGCGTTGCGACCGTCGTGCTCGTACTGGCCAGCGGGAGTCTGGAGAGAGAAATACGCCATTATGCTGGTGGAATTGAGAAAATTCGTGCTGAATCGGTAGATGGGAGTCCAATGTCGTATACCGATTGCTCCTGATTTCCAATTAGAAGGGCTACGCTTGCCAAAAGTAATGGATGCGTGAACGCTCGATAGGGAGTGGGGCTATTTTTGCTTTTGGGCTGATTTGCTCTGGTGAGGAATCGTGTCGGAGGGGCGGTCTATTTGTATTGGTGCGGTGAGGTGAATTGCAATAGAGTGGGGGGTTGGGGGGATCGGAGCGAGCTAGCTTGGTGGGCTTCGCAGAGTGTGCTTGCGACAGCGTGTGGGTTGTGACTTTCCTCGGACAGGTGCGTCGCTTCCGTCGCCCAACTCGTCGCAAGCATCCCGACGACTCGACGGCACCGACAGTGGGTGCTGGCGGTGAATGGAGCTGCGAACTCGGACCATAGCTGGCCCCACTGTGAGGCTTCGCAGAGTCATCGCATCAGGTCGCGCTTGGGCCGAGGGGGCGCAAATTGGCGCTGCGTGGACATGGGCGGCTCGCATGGTCGTTGTCGTTTCTTGACTCGCAGTGCTCCCCGCCATCTCCTCGAAGGCTCTGCGAAATTAGCGAATAGAGTACCTTCTCCGAAGCCTCGTTTGACTGGCGGGGCAACGAAATCAGTTGGACGTGGACGCGTTTCAAGCAGGTTCTAGAATTGAAGAGGAAGGGAGATTGTATACACAAAACACTGTAGAAAAACCTCCATTCCCCCACAAACAAAGAAACATGCACTTTACGTGCCAAAGCACACCCGATATAAGCGATCCACGGTCGTCGGAGCCTCGGAGCATCCAACAGCGCTCCACGCCTAGCCCAACCTGCTCCGGCTTGAACCTTGGACCAGATCGATTCCTGACCGTTGGCCAGCCAGCGCTGTCGTCCGCCGTCGATTCTCCTTGTTTCGAATCTTTTGTGGATCACAATTCTTGATCATTTTACAGTCCTTGGCTTCGGCCAGTCTAGGTCATCCTTGGGATTGTCGAAGCGACTTTCCGTTTCTTGGCCGAAACCTGAGCTGATTATGGCTCTATTCTTAGATCCTGAATGTGTGTAGCATCTAGTCCCACGCGATTAGTTGCAACCAGTCTCTCATCACTACTCTAAACTAGACCGTACAATTCTTACCACAAAAGGTCTCAGCCGTATTGTTTCCTCCGAAAATCATCCAGCCATGGCAGATTCATCCGCCGTCAGTTCCGCAAACGCGGGCCACATGGCTCCGCTTCCAGAGGACCTGACGGAAGCCGGTCAGAAGCTTCTTTCGGACGTGCAGGGGGTGATGGAGCGGTGCAAGGCGCTCCAGGAGACGGCGGCGGGGTACAGCCAGCGCCTCAAGAGCGAGGGCGACGCGCTCGGCGAGCGCGCGATCGCGCTCGAGAAGGAGCTGCGCGTGCTGCGAAAGAGCGTTAACGTCGCAGCGGCGAAAGACGAGGTTTCGCCTGAAGTCGCGGAGCAGGTGATGTGCCAGATCATCTATAGGCCAGATCTGTGATCATCGGCGGAGTTTCTTAGTAGTTTCGTTCTCCCGAATGTTGGTCCAGCCCGCTCCTGACTGGGCAAGAAGGGCATGTTTGCCTGGTGGGCAAGCGCATCCATTACCCCTTACGACGAACCTGTAGCCCTCCCCTCCCACCAGTGCCCTCCCACACTCGACTGTGGGACGATCCCAGTGCCCCACCAACGCCGAATTGTGACGTGAAATGTTGATTGATCAGATGGAATTGAATTTGGATTGGTTTTGGATGGTAATTGAATTTGTGAATTAATTCCTATTTACGCTTGTAATTGTCTCAGATGGACGAGGACTTGGTGCGAGCCAGGAGCATGGTGTACGAAGGGGATATAGCGGCGCTGCTGCCGCACAAGGCGAACGGTGAGACTAGAGGCGAGATAACGCTTAATAACGAGGGAGATTATAGCGAGGAGCGTGGTGTACGAAGGGGATATAGCGGCGCTGCTGCCACACAAGGCGAACGGTGAGACTGGCAACGGTAACGCTCGTGATTCTACGCTAGTGTGGCGATGCGCATTGGGCCTTTCTGCGCACGCCACGCATGCCCCCCCACCTCCCCCCCCCCCCCCCGATCACTGTGTGCCACGTGTCGCTGCTTCCCCGCCTATGTTCCCGCCAGGCTTCTTCCTGTGGCTGTTCCTGGGTCATGTTGACTCGATTTCAAAGCGTCTTAAAGCCAATTCGCATCACGTGTCCCTGCTTTCCCATCCCCATCCCCATCCCCATCCCCATCCCCATCCCCATCCCCATCCCCATCCCCATCCCCGTCTCGCCAGGCTTCTTCCTGTGGCTGTTCCTGGGCCATGTGAACGTGCGGTCTTCTCGGAGGGACGTGCGGTTCAAAGTCAAGGAGGAGTACAACAGCTACCGGGTGAGTCATTGTTCCGTTTTAAGCCACCTCACCATATGGTAAAGGGGAATACAAAAAGTATCATACTGCCTCCATCCCGCCCCCCCCCCCCCTTCACCCACCCCGTATGCCTCCCCCATCCCCCCCCTCCATCCCCCCTCGCAGGATCTCACTCCTCTCGCACACTCCCCACCCCCCCCCCCCCCGCATATGCTTTCCCGATCCTCCCATCCACCATTCCCGCCCCTCAGGATCGCACGGCTCTCATCTTCCTGGGAGCGCCGCTGCTGCTGCTGGCGGCGAAGCAGTCCATGAACCAGAGCTGCCTGCCGGGGCTCGTCGTGCACGTCTATCAGGTGCGCAGTCTGTCGGGTGAGGGGTCTTTTTTCACATGATCTGTCTTTCAGAGAATAAGGCGTTGTTCTGGGTAAGAACACTGTCTCACTACGCCTCTCCTCAACCACCGGACCCTACCCCCCTCCCCTTTCCTCGTGCTGCTGGTCCAATGTTCACATCAAATAGCCATCCTCCAGGCACGGTTATTACTTTTCTACATGACCCTGGTGCTGCGGAAATCACAGTGCAACGCTGTACCCCCCCCACCTTTCCCCTCTCCCTCCATCCTCCCCCCCCCTCCCTCTTCCCCCTCTTCCCGCCCCCCCTCTTCAACCTACACCAGGCATGGCTATTGCTCTTCTACACGAGCCTAGCGCTGCGGGAAAACATTCTGCGCATCAACGGCAGCGACATCCGACCGTGGTGAGGGGAAGAGGACAGGGGGAAGGGGGCAGGGGGAGGGCAGGGGGAAGAGGGCAGGGGGAAGAGGACAGGGGGAAGAGGGCTGGGGGAAGAGGGCAGGAGAAGAGGGCAGGGGAAGAGAGCAGGGGAAGAGGGTAAGAGGAGAGGTCAGGGGGAGAGGGCAGGGGAAGAGGGTAAGAGGAGAGGTCAGGGGGAGAGGGCAGGGGAAGAGGGCAGGGGAAGAGGGTAAGAGGAGAGGTCAGGGGGAGAGGGCAGGGGAAGAGGGCAGGGGAAGAGGGTAAGAGGAGAGGTCAGGGGGAGAGGGCAGGGGAAGAGGGCAGGGGAAGAGAGAAAACATCCCTCCTGCGCATCAGTGCTCCACCAACCTCCTCATCTTCCCACTTCCCCCCCTCCTCTCCCTCTTCCCCCTCCTCCCCCTCCTCCCCCTCTTCCCCTCCTCCCCCTCTTCCCCCTCCTCCCCCTCTTCCCCCTCCTCCTTCTCTTCCCCCTCCTCCCCCTCTTCCCCCTCCTCCCCCTCTTCCCCCACTTCCCCCTCTTCCCCCTCTTCCCCCTCTTCCCCCTCTTCCCCCTCTTCCCCCTCTTCCCCCTCTTCCCCCTCTTCCCCCTCTTCCCCCTCTTCCCCCTCTTCCCCCTCTTCCCCCTCCTCCCCCTCTTCCCCCTCCTCCCCCTTTTCCCCCTGCCTCGCCTCGCAGGTGGATCTACCACCACTACTACGCCATGCTCATGGCGCTAGTGAGCCTCACGTGGGGCATTGAGGGGCCTGACTGCGCTATGAAGCAGGTGGGGTGATTGTAACGGGCGAGAGGTGATTGTAACAGGTGAGAGGTGACTGTAACAGGTGAGAGGTGACTGTAACAGGTGAGGCATCCATGTCTTGCAGCAGCAAGTGATGGCGCTAGTGAGCCTTGCGTGGGGCATTGAGGGGCCTGACTGCACAATGAAGCAGGTGGGGTGATTGTAACGGGCGAGAGGTGACATGGCCACCATGACTGTAACCATGGCACGCTGACGAAGCTGAGATGGCTACATGCTGTGGGTGGGCCATGGGTGTCGCCATGCCGCGTTGCCCTGCCTTTTTCGACCCTATTACCTCCCATCCTTACCCCCTGTGCTCCTGCTTCTCTTACTCTCGCCCGCCCCCGTTTACCAGCAAGGCATAACGCTCTTCCTCATGTGGGCTGTCATCCAGGGCGTGGCCATTCTGCTCCAAAACACCCCGCCTCTCTTGACACCCCACCCCTTCCCACCCCACCCCTCCCCTCCCCTCCCCTCGCCCGCCCCCGTTTACCAGCAAGGCATAACGCTCTTCCTCATGTGGGCTGTCATCCAGGGCGTGGCCATGCTGCTGCAAAACACCCCGCCTCTCTTGACACCCCACCCCTTCCCACCCCACCCCTCCCCTCCCCTCCCCTCGCCCGCCCCCGTTTACCAGCAAGGCATAACGCTCTTCCTCATGTGGGCTGTCATCCAGGGCGTGGCCATGCTGCTGCAAAACACCCTGCCTCTCTTGACACCCCACCCCTTCCCACCCCACCCCTCCCCTCCCCTCCCCTCGCCCGCCCCCGTTTACCATCAAGGCATAACGCTCTTCCTCATGTGGGCCATCATCCAGGGCGTGGCCATGCTGCTGCAAAACACCCCGCCTCTCTTGACACACCACCCCTTCCCACCCCACCCCTCCCCTCCCCTCCCCTCCCCTCGCCCGCCCCCGTTTACCAGCAAGGCATAACGCTCTTCCTCATGTGGGCCATCATCCAGGGCGTTGCCATGCTGCTGCAAAACACCCCGCCTCTCTTGACACACCACCCCTTCCCACCCCACCCCTCCCCTCCCCTCCCCTCCCCTCGCCCGCCCCCGTTTACCAGCAAGGCATAACGCTCTTCCTCATGTGGGCCATCATCCAGGGCGTGGCCATGCTGCTGCAGAACCGCTACCAGCGCCGCCGCCTCTACACCAGAATAGCGCTGGGGAAGGTGAGAAGCGCAGTGGAGAGGTGGCGAAAGGCGGCTCACACACGTTGTGGTGCGGTCACCTGCACAACCGCTACCAGCGCCGCCGCCTCAGGAAAATGGGAAACGCTCTGGTTGTGGATCGTGTAAGATGTACTGGCAAGGTGTCTTTGGGCCTCTGGGGCTCTGGGCCTCTGGGGCTCTGGGGCTCTGGGGCTCTGGGGCTCTGGGGCTCTGGGGCTCTGGGGCTCTGGGGCTCTGGGGCTCTGGGGCTCTGGGGCTCTGGGGCTCTGGGGCTCTGGGGCTCTGGGGCTCTGGGGCTCTGGGGCTCTGGGGCTCTGGGGCTCTGGGGCTCTGGGGCTCTGGGGCTCTGGGGCTCTGGGGCTCTGGGGCTCTGGGGCTCTGGGGCTCTGGGGCTCTGGGGCTCTGGGGCTCTGGGGCTCTGGGGCTCTGGGGCTCTGGGGCTCTGGGGCTCTGGGGCTCTGGGGCTCTGGGGCTCTGGGGCTCTGGGGCTCTGGGGCTCTGGGGCTCTGGGGCGCTGGGGCTCTGGGGCTCTGGGGCTCTGGGGCTCTGGGGCTCTGGGGCTCTGGGGCTCTGGGGCTCTGGGGCTCTGGGGCTCTGGGGCTTTGGTCATGACTGAGTTAAGCCGAAAGGAGGTTAGTAGCTCTGGGGAAGGTGAGGGTCCTCGTGTAAGGCAGTGTCCCCATGCAATGCCGTGCCTTTTCATCTCGTGTGCTGTCCTCTTGTAAGGCGGAAAGGTGAGTTTTTGACTTCGTTCTCATCATGCAGTTCCTTGCATCGACTCTGTCATTGGTGTGCGTGCCACCAGCTCGCCGTTCTATTTTCTCGCCCGGCTATTTTCTTTGTTGTATGCGCCATGGTCACAGGCAGGGCAGACAGAGGGATGTGGTGTGGGGGGAGACGACCGGCATGAAGGCCCTTTACCTTGATGTCATTTCACAAACATATTGTATGTTTCTTTGCAATGACCCCATGCAGGCGGGGCAGATGGACGTGGTGTGGGGGGAGACAGCAGGCATGAAGGGGCAGCTGGTGCTGCTGTATCCGCTGCTCTTCATTCTGCAGCTCTTCCAGCTCTACATCGGCGTCACGCTGCTGCGCACTTCGCTCTACGAGATGTTCGAGTGGCAGGTATGGCATGTGTGAGTGGCAGGTATGGCATGTGTGAGTGGCAGGTATGGCACGTGTGAGTGGCAGGTATGGCACGTGTGAGTGGCAGGTTATGGCACGTGTGAGTGGCAGGTATGGCACGTGTGAGTGGCAGGTATGGCACGTGTGAGTGGCAGGTATGGCACGTGTGAGTGGCAGGTATGGCACGTGTGAGTGGCAGGTATGGCACGTGTGAGTGGCAGGTATGGCACGTGTGAGTGGCAGGTATGGCATGTGTGAGTGGCAGGTATGGCACGTGTGAGTGGCAGGTATGGCATGTGTGAGTGGCAGGTATGGCATGTGTGAGTGGCAGGCATGGTTCGTGCATTGGTTTGCCATGTGCATTGGCTCGTGAAGGTATGGCCCGTGCAGGTATGGCCCGTGCAGGTATGGCACACGGTATGGGCTGTGTGCGGCTGTGTGAGTGGCAGGTATAGCCTAGTAAAGTGGCAAGTACAGCATTTTTACCTCTTGAATGTGACGTCTTGTTGCTGTATTCCATGTTCTCTTTCATGCGCTTACCCTCGCTTCCTATTCATGTTTCTTGCCTGGCAGATCTTTGCTTGCGGCATCCTCCTTATAATCATGGCAGTTGGGAACTTCACCAACACTGTAGCTACAGTGGCCACAAAGCTGACCATTAAAGCCAAAATGCGCAAGAAGGGTGGAGGAGCAGCAGCCAAGGCCCAGGAAGCTAGTAGTAAGGCATCCGCATCTGCACACAAAGATGACTAGCTGTGTTTGTACTTGAATTTAAATGGCTAGAGTATTCTGGTCAGCAATGCTTTCACGTCCATTAATGCAGCTCATATGGGCTTTAGCTCAATGCAGTGCACATGCAGGGCCTGGTAAGTTATCCAGGTAAAACGCCCTAAGTACTCTGATTTCCAGGGTAGTTTTCTGTGATGCACTGATTTTCCATGGTAGATTAATCAAGTGTAGCAATTCTATTACCCTGGCTGAATCATGTCGTGCTGTGCAGTGCAACTAGGGTTTCATATATCAGACGAAATCCGCCTGATGGTCTGAACACCAGACCTGTTTTTTGCCATTCGGACGACAACCAGACCTGCTTTTTGCCATTCATCTGATTTTTTTACGAGGTGAATTATTTCGTCTGATCGTCCATCTCAGTCATAAGTTATCGTCTGAAAGCACAGACTTGGTGTAGTTTTTCGTCTGAAATCTCAGATAGCGAGTACAATTTCGTCTTATGTGTGGAGGTATTGAGGTGTGGAGGTGTGGACGTGTGGAGGTATGGAGGGGTGGAGGTATGGAGTGGTGGAGGTATGGAGGTGTGGAGGTGTAGACGTTTGGACGCATGGAGGTATGGAGGTGTGGAGGTTCAGAGGTGTGGAGGTGTGGAGGTATGGAGGTGCGGAGGTGTGGAGGTACGGAGGTATGGAGGTGCCGAGGTATGGAGGTATGGAGGTGTGGAGGTACGGAGGTGTGGAGGTACAGAGGTGTGGAGGTACAGAGGTGTGGAGGTGTGGAGGTGTGGAGGTACAGAGGTGTGGAGGTATGGAGGTATGGAGGGGTGGAGGTATGGAGGTGTGGAGGTGTGGAGGTATGGAGGTGTGGAGGTGTGGAGGTGTGGAGGAGTGGAGGTATGGAGGGGTGGAGGTATGGAGGTGTGGAGGTGTGGAGGTATGGAGGTGTGGACGTGTGGACGTGTGGACGTGTGGACGTGTGGAGGTGTGGAGGTGTGGACGTTTGGACGCATGGAGGTATGGAGGTATGGAGGTGTGGAGGTGTGGAGGTACGGAGGTATGGAGGTGCCGAGGTATGGAGGTGTGGAGGTACAGAGGTGTGGAGGTACAGAGGTGTGGAGGTACAGAGGTGTGGAGGGGTGGAGGTGTGGAGGCTTGGAGGTGTGAAGGTGTGGAGGTGTGGAGGTGTGGAGGTATGGAGTTATGGAGGGGTGGAGGTATGGAGGTGTGGAGGTGTGGAGGTATGGAGGTGTGGAGGTGTGGACGTGTGGAGGTATGGAGGGATGGAGGTATGGAGGTGTGGAGGTATGGAGGTGTGGAGGTGTGGAGGTACAGAGGTGTGGAGGTGTGGAGGTGTGGAGGTATGGAGGTGCGAAGGTGAGGAGGTACGGAGGTGTGAAGATGTGGAGGTATGGAGGTGTGGAGGTGTGGAGGTATTGAGGCGTGGAAGTGTGGAGGTATGGAGGTCTGCAGGTGCAGAGGTGTGGAGGTGTGGAAGGATGGAGGTACAAAGGTGTGGAGAAGTGGAGGTATGGAGGTACGGAGGTATGGCTCCAAGCGAATCAATCGAGGGGGGGACGGGGGGAGGGGAGGAGGTGGAGGAGGGAGAGTGCGGGGAGGAGGACCGGCAGATGGATCTAGCGGAGACGGAATGCGGCACGCCAGAATCTCTACCATCCCTTCGCCGCACCCAATCGCCTGCATCACCGCGGGCATGGCAAACATGGCCCCCTCCGCCGCCGCCGCCGCCGCTGCCGTCGCCGCCGCCGTCACCTCCGCCATCAGGCCCTGGCGACCTGGGCAGCGGTTCCGCGAGCCCCGACCTTGGGGCCCGCCTTGCACCCTCTTCGGACGGCCAGCCAGCCCCCGCTGGCGAGGCGGCGGGGACCGCTCAGGGGGAGGAGTACGACGGCAGTTCGACCGTCGGAGATCGGGCCAGAGAGCGGGGGAGGGAGACGGACGGTACCCGCGATCTGCGGGAGAGCGCACCTGCCCATGCGGACGAGGCGGCGAGCACTCCCGACCGCGGGCCTGAGAGGCCATCGTCGCAACGTCAAGCCGCATTGGATCGATGGCTCTTGCTTGGGATCGGCCCGCAATTCGACACGAGGGTCCCGCTCGGCAGCCTGACGAGGGGACGCCGACGGAGGGGCGGCAGGCGAATGCGCGGAAGGATTCTGCTGAGCCTCTTGAACGCGTGGGCGGGCCGTGGGGGAGTGCCTAGACCAGGGTCCTTCGTTCACGCGGTGCATCGAAGGCTTGCTGGAGGAGCTGGGGAAGCCCAGGGAGCAGTGGGCGCAGGAGCTACGGGAATTTCGCTAAGGGAGGAGGCTGCTGGAGACACTGCTGGGGAGGAGACGAGCTGCTCAAATTATACCCTTTCAGCTGAGGGGTACTCCGAGGCGAGCCTGGGTTGGGAGGAAGAATGTGGAGAAGAGAGAACTGGTGCTCACCGGCGGGCCGCATCCAACCTAAATCGGACGGCGGATGTCGACATCCCCGGACCGCCTATTGAATATTTTTCGCCGAACACCCTCGTACGCCACGAGGACATGTTTGCGGAAATTGCAAACTAGGACCTGGGGCTCCTTCACGACAGTCGCCAATCCCCGCTCACTCGCCACTGTTATAAGCACAATAGGCTCAGATGTGCTTAAAATGAGAGATAGAAAGCACAGTCGGATTTCCGTGAGACGGCTTCAAATATTGATAACGATCTGAACTGTGATCTAAACTGTGATCTGTCAATTGAATCTCAAGCGCATTGCTGTCACCTATCAGCAGCAAGTTGAATCATGAAATTCCATGACGATTTAATGACGCTATGGTGGTTTGACTGGCAGGAGGTATAGCAGCCACAATAGTCTTAGGAGTACAAACTTAGCAAGAAGAATCGAGATTGAGATGGTTCCCAACCTCTACATACCCCAAGAACCGAGGTCCACGTTGGTGGTACACCACCATGGAGTCCCCAACCACGAAGGGACTCGAAATAAACCCAACAAGAGGCTACACCAAGTGAAATGTAACACTACACGAAGTAGCATTACTATTCTCACTATTTTAATATTTGTCCGCGTCCCTTGGGCTTGAAATCTTGAGCTCTTGGTCTTGGTTCTGCGAAATAAATTCTTCTTGAGTTGATGAGGGCTTGCTGCACTCACCTGCGACGCAATGGACACTTCACACTCGACAAAAATAGAAAAACACATGCGACGCGCAAACGACGACTCGACGTGCGAGTTGTAGAAACTCTCTAATGTCTTGACCGACACAAACCACATTGTGATACACCATTCGAGCACACACACAAGCACTAGATACCAATGGCATGGACTCAAAAATCATTCCATGCCATGCATGCACACACACAAACAAGGGCGACAAGCCGAGTGCAAGCCATAGGGTTGCACCAACAGCCACGTTCTTTGTTCAATTCGCGAAGGCTTCGCCACCTGCCTACTGACCCCGCTCATCCGATTAGCTAAACACCACGACTCTGCGCCAGCGTGGCGTTTGTTGTTCTACCTCCCCCACCTGATCTGCGTGTCAGCTCGACCATGCGCCCTGACCGGAAAGCAATCTCGGGCCCCCTAGACAAGTTCCAGCGAGGTCTTTGGGGGGATCTGTACAACAAGGCAATTGCTGCCACCTCTCTGCCACCCCTGCCCCGCCACAACTTAGATAGCACTGGCACAGTGGCCTGCGCTGAGTACTTGACTAAGCGGGGAAACTTACGCAAAGCTGTCCAAGCATTGGAAGTCACCCCGATCAGCCCGACAAATGAGGATACACTCCAAGCTCTACACTCCAAACACCCAGCTGCAGAACTCCCCCTGCCCTCTTGACTCACCTCTCACACACCTGAGGAGGTCCCCAGCATCTCGCACAAGAGCCTGCGCATGCTCATCTCGCAGCTCCTTAACGGAGTTGGAGTAGGTCCTTCAGGGACGACATTTAAGCACATCCGCGCAGCCACCCTCGCTAACTCAGACATCCTAGCTCACCTCCGCACCCTTTGCAACCACGCCCTAGCCCGCCACCTCAGCTGCGACGCCGCGGACCTACTGACCGCATCGTGCCTCCTAGCCTTCACCAAGAGGGGGGGAGGAACGCGGCCCATTGCCGTGAGAAAGTGCCTCCACCACATATTCGCCAAGGCAGCGCTCCTCCTCGCGACGAAAGCTGCGCGCCAGTACTTCTCGCCACTGCAATTCGAAGTGGTGGTGCCCGGTGCCATAATCCACCTCGTTAGAACCTACCTTGAATCCCACCCGCAGCACCCCGCCCTCCAAATCGACCTCACCAACACGTTCAATGCGGTTGAATGCGCGGCGGTCGTCGAGGGGCTACGCGGCATGCCCCTAAAGTTTCTCATCCCCTTCGTCCGTCTCTCCTATGGGGCGCCATCCGCTCTCTACATCGACCACACCTTCGGCGCACCCCCCCTCTCTAGCGCACGCGGCGTCCGCCAAGGGGACCCCATGGGTCCACTCCTCTTCGCCGCCGCCCTGCACCCCGCGCTCACCGCCACCGCCGCCACGCACCCCGCCGTCTGCGTACTCGCGTACGCGGACGACATCACCCTCCTCGGGCCCCCCGAGGAGTGCGTCGCCACCTTCCACTCCCTTACCGCCGCGGTCTCCGCCCTGGGTCTGCGCCACAACCTCGCCAAGTGCAAGGCGTTGTCTCCCTCCCCAACCGCCGACCCCACCCTCCCCGAGGGGCTCTCCCTCTCCACTTCCGGCCTCCGCGTCCTCGGCAACCCCGTGGGAACCAAGCGGGCATCCACCGCTGCCATCCGCAGTCACCTTGCGGAAGCAGCGGTGCCGCTCCCTCTCCTCGAGAAGCTGGACCCCCAGTCCAGCCTCCTCCTCCTCACCCGCTGCCTAAGTCTACGCGCCTCCTACCTCCTCCGCTCGACTTCCCCTCACCTCCTCCCCGAGGCGGAATGGTCACGCTAGGGGGAGCAGCTCTTCACCATGGCGCTCGCTGCGTGCGCGCTGCCAGCTCCAAGGCAAGCGGCGGAGCAGAGGCGGGTATGGACCCAGGCTTCCCTGCCACCGACCCTTGGAGGCCTAGGCATCTCCAACCCTGCTGGACCGGGAACAAAAGCAGGCAGTGGACTGGAACTGGACCGGGCAGTGGACTGGGCACTGGACCGAGCAGTGGACTGGGCTGGACCGGGCAGTGGACTGGGCACTGGACCGGGCAGTGAACCAGGCAGTGGACCGGGCAGTGGACCAGGCAGTGGACAGGGAT